TTCACTTATTAATTCCAGTAGCTGTTTCATAGACTTCTTACAATTTTCTATGTACGGACACATCATCGACAAATAAAGACAATTATTCCTCTTCTTCTCAACCCATGTACCTTTTGTTTCTTTTTCTTGCCTCATTACAAAGGTTAGGGCTTCTAGTATAATTGTTCCCAACCTTGGGAGGGAAAGCATTTAATATTTTGCATTAAGTATAGCAATAAGCTTTTTTAGATGTCCTTTATCATGTTGAGGGTGTTTATTTCCATTTTGAGTTTGCTGATTTTACCATAAGTAGGTATTAAATAGTTTCAAATGTTTTCCTGAATCTAGTGAAGCAATCCTATAGTTGTTACCCTTTATTCTGTTACTACGGTGAGTTACATTGTAGTGATACCTCCTTGCATTATTTTTTGGTGCTTGCTCTATAATCTCCTGAGACTGTAAAGAAATTCACCAATTTAACCTTATCTATATTTTTATTGAACCCAATTTGTGAAAATACACTAGACAGCTAGAAAGGGGTCCTTGAAACAGATCTTGATTTAAGAAATGTATCACAGAAATTGATATGATAATCAAAGAACTCCTCTTACAAAAAGCCCTAGGCCCAGGTGATGTTACAAGGGAATTCTAACAAATGTTCAAAAACATAATTCCTTTGTTAGGGAAATTATTTCAAAAAACAAAATAAGAACAAAAGTAGCTCATTTAATGAGGTTAGTATGACCTTGATTCCAAAACCTGATGAGAATAGTACAAGAAATTACAGAGCCATTTAATTTACGGACATGAATTTTAAAATACTAAATATAACTTTGAATAATCAAGTCCAACTTGTTTTTTTAAAAAATTCATGATTAGGTAAGGTTTACCCCAGAAATAAAAAAGTGGCTCAATATCAAAAGAATCTATTAATATATTTCATCACATCCACAGACCAAGGACAAGAATTATACTTTATATCAATAAATACAGAAAATATATTTAATAAAATTATACAATAATTCTTAGCAATTAGGAATAGAAAGGCATTTTTCTAACTTCATAGATATTTTATTCCCCAAAGCTACAAATATTAAACTTTTATAGAAAATTTACATGCATTCCCTTTAAGATGGTGAGCATGACAAGATACCCACCATCACTGCTGAAGCTTAAAAGCAATGGAGGCACTGGCCAGCAATATAATGAAAGGAAACAGAAATTTAAAAATCAGAAGGTAATTTGTTTCGTTTTTGAAGACAATATAATTATTTACATAAGAAACAACCAGATATTCTTTTACAGAAATGGACAAGCTGATCCTAAAATTCATATGGAATTGCAAGGGACCCAGGATAGTCAAAACAATCTTGAAAAAGAAGAAAGTGGGAGGACTCATGTTTCCTGATTTCAAAACTTTTTAAAATCTACGGCAATCAAAACAATATGGTACTGGCATAAGGACAAACAAAGAGATCAATAAAATAGATGTGAAAGTCCAGAAATAAACCCATACATCTATCATCAATTGATTTTTGACAAGACTGCCAAGACTTTTCAATGGAGAAAGAATATACTAACCAATAAATGGTTCTGGAATAACTGGATATCTGCATGCATAAGAATGAAG